AACAAAGGGCCTCTTACTCATAACACAACCCAGAGTGTGCTCCCTTGAGCTCTAGCTGTGACTGTTTTATAAATCACAGCTTCATATTTTAACAAAAGTATTTCATGATAAGTAAGGTTGAAATGTATAGAGTAAATTGATGTGAAAGGTTCTTCTGTCTTTGTGTTGTTTTTATTGGTTAATGAATAAAGAACTGCTTTGAGCCTATGGCAGGGAAGAACAGAACTAGGCAGGGAAAGCTAGGCTGTATGCTGGGAGGAAAAAAGGGCGGAGTCAGAGAGAAGTCATAGAGTTGCCTCCAGAGATAGAAGTGCTGAAACTTTGCTGGTAGGCCATGACCTCCTGGTGATGCACAGATTAATGAAGATGGGTTAAATTAAGATGTAAGTGTTATCCAATAAAACATTAATGCTAATGAGCCAAGCAGTGATTTAAATAATACAGCTTCTGTGTGATTATTTCGTGGCTAAGCGGCTGGGAACCAACAGGCGGCCTCCTTGCTACAGTAGATAAAAACATCTCTTGATTAAAGTATTTCACAGATCTTTAATATGCTTTTTGTATGTTGATTTTCACATGTTCATAATATCATTTTATATGTTCTTTTGTTCTGTTTCAGCATCCTTTTTATATGTTCATTGAGGAGCCGCAATGGGGTCACATACAAGTTTCAGAATCTCCAAACCTAGTAGGGCTTTAGATTTCTTTCAAACAACAAAAGAACAAGACTAGTATTGAAAAGCACACACTGGGAAATGCTAATCTAAGGCACTGATACTATGGTAAAGAGACCAAAACAATGACCACAGATGCACCTGGTTTGCCTAAAGTGATCTGGTAGAATTAGTGGGTCTACTTGTGACTGACACATAGTTCTTCAAAGTTTGACTCCAGTGTTTTCCCACTTGACTCCAATGTCTTCATCACCCTTCCGATTACTACTTCCCTTTTAAGGAAGGAAGATGAATTCATTCTCCGCAAAAGTGTATAAATTCTCTTACTGACATTTTTTTCCTTTAAATGTCAAGTAGAGGTTATAAGGGGGAGAGTGTAAGATTTCAAACCTTAAATTATAACATGACAAGGAGCCTGACAACCAACAACTAATGCTCCTGCCGTAAAAATGACAAATGATGTCAGATTTAAAGTCTCTGGTATTATGCAGAAAAGGTAAAAAGGATCACATTTCTATACTATATTTGGCTCTGAGGAGCGTCTTGCTAAGGCTTAAGAAGAAAGAGTGTATGGAAATATATGAAAGATTAAAAAAAAACAAAACTTCAATGTTGCCAATTTCGACCATCTGTCTCAAGAAATTGAAAACTGAGTAATAATCACTTCACTCAGACTTCAACAGTAAGTTCCCAGTATCATCCACAAACACCTGCTCTCAGTGGCCTTCAACTAATCAAACAAAAGGATCTAATAACTGTAGCAAAGGACATTAAGAAATGTTAAATGGAGAAGCACAATGCCCACCAAGTATATGGGCAATCTTGAAACATGAGAGTGGCTGGATAGATCTGCTCATTTCAGACACTAGAGTCCTATTGCAGAGCGGACAGTATAATTCTTCCTTACAGCATAATTTGTACAAAACTCAGGTGGCACAAGACTGCCTAGGTCTTTAAAAGTGGAGAATAAAAGAGAAAGGAATCCACAGGTATTTTAAGTGAAATTTATTTGTAAAAAACAGAAATGAATATGTGATACCATCTACTTCAAAAATGAGCAAAGAATGTGTCAAACACTTAAAAGACTGGGCAGGGAAGAAATGGCAATACATGTAGAGATATATGAAAGAGGGACTAATCCTTGCCATTTCTATGGGGCAGGACTATGAATAAAGGGAGAAAATTATAGAAAATAATTTTTGACATAATGAGAAAAATATACAAATACAATTAGAATCTGGCAGGAGTCATTGGTGTGGTATTAAATTCTTCACCCTTAGGAGTCCCTGTCAGAAGTGAAATAACACGTCACACAGTTGCTTTTCTGTGAGATTCTGGGGTTCCAAACAAAGATGACATTTCAGATTTAAATTCTGAAACATAAGAACTTTCTCACAGGAAATGCACACTCTCTAGTGTATGAATCCGGAGAGGGCCACCATGCGGTCCTCATCGTTGTGAAGCCAAAGGTGGTGTTAATATGACTGTGATGCTCACCCTCGCAAGGCTGTAGTCTCACCTAGGGGAAGAGATTGGAGTCCTGGAGAACTGTGGATATGAGGCGACAAAAGTCCAAGAAAATTGATAGAGTTTAATATAAACTCATTTTTATCCGTTAACCATTCTCAAGAATTTGCTAAGCAAGCCCTTTGATTGAACCATAGCCCAATGTGGAGTTTCTTTTTGGGGCCAGTGAGTTTAAAACACTCTGAGTGGATCAACACTGGGGAGGTTTTTTCCTAAGGAATGAAAGAAGGAAACAGGGTAAACAGCTTCAGAAAGAATGGCATATTTAGAGAAAACTATGCAGTGTGCTGCAGCTGGTAAGTCACAGTCTGAATCATGTGCACTTCCTTTTGGGGGAGAGGAGTGGGGCAGCAGGGGAAAGGGACATTATTAGTAGGGGCTGGACAGAGGGACAGGAGAAGCAGGAACAGATATTTAGGGGACTGAAGTAAAATGATTGCTGCTTTGGGCAGGTTCAGTACTTTTTTGTTTGTTTATTGTTTCTATCTCAGGGTCAGTTTTTTTTTTTCCTTTCAGAATATTTTAAAGTGAACCATTTTCTTTCATTCCCGGATTCTGCTTGCCAGTTGCCTTGGAAGTACTAATTATGGTTTTCCTTATATAGGACGGAAGGGACCTATTATTGTTGAAGGTTCATTTTTTTTTTAAAAAAACCATTCATTCCTTGAAACTTAAAGCAGTGAAGAATGATGTCATAGCTATTTTTGTAATCATTTTATTTACAATGACTATAAAAATTATCATGGAAAAATACCATAGCATCTGAAAAATTCTTTGGTACAATTATATGGGTATAGAGGCTTTTTTTTTCTCCTAGAATTTGAAAATAAGTCTGTACATCTAGGGCTTGAAGAAGTCAGTGGACAGATTTGGCATGATTTCACAATGACACTGGATGAAGGAATGATGGCAAAGTTCTATCTACACTCCCTGTATGTCAAAGGTGAAGCCTGTCCTAAGGCTGCCAGTATTTGGAAATGGAAGTTTCTACTTCATTTTCAATGGAGCACTGTGTTGGAGATGGTTTCATACTTTATTCTAATGGCAATACTTCCAGTAGCAAAATTTAAATTATGGGCAAAAGTTATTCCTATATCAAGTCCCTAAAAATATTTTTTTCTAGTTTAAATGCAGTATCACAAGATCAACTTTGAGGTCCAAAGCAAACAAAGAAGCAAAAGGTTCATAGCTTCTGGAGAATGAAAATAATGGTGACTTTAGGTAGTCAAGAAATTGGAAACTCTGAGTTGCAAGTTTGATATTGGTGCTTTATTTTATTTTATTTATTTTTTTTGCCTGTTCAACTTGACTGGATGCTTTCTCAAAGCAGAGGTCCTTTCTAAATAGTGCCTCCCCTTTGGGAAATGGTAGTTGGATGAGATACTTTCTGAACGACTAACTATAGCAAGCAAAGGGAGGAGGGACAGCATTGATTGACAGATTCCAAGAAATGAATGCCATCTCATGTGCAGGAAGCAGTATTGCTTGAGGTGATGAACCTGGATGGACAATCAGACTGCCTCAACTGGAAAGCTAGTTCTTTCCACCATTAATGAAAGGATCATGGCTACGTTAGTAAATGTGTCTAGACCTGTTTTTACAGGTTACCTTATAAAGAAGTACAAGAAGTTTATAAAACTCAACATATACCAAATATAGGGATAAATTCAGTTCAGAGGTATTTGAAACCACAAGTTATACCACAAGGATAAAATAGAAGCTCCCTGGAGCCTAGGGAATTAAGAATAACTATTAGAAAACTTCGATGCTTCACCTCCCACTTTTTATAAGGAAGAGGAGATAATGGTTCCTTGTAGATGTGGTCATCTTAAGTAGCTAGATAGGAATTATGAGGCTTGGGAGCCCTTGGAGTTTTGGATGAACCTTCCATCATAATAGACGTTTTGACTCCACCTTTGGGTTTCCAGGGAACTCCAGGGAAAAGAGCATCACTATTGCTCACTGAATATATAAATTCCCATATGAATAGTTGGGGGCTTCAGGATTTTGTTGAGGCCCATTAAAGGAAAGATACTTCTTCTTGGTCAAGACCTCTGGCTTTGGGTAGAGATGACATTCTGATCTAGTTCAGAGATTCAAACAACATATTATTATTGTCTCCTGTCTAAAGCAGAAATCCTGCTGAACCTGTCAATCACCTAGTCAAGAGACCATTGCTCATGAAAACCAGTTCATTTGAGAAGATACTAAAGATATGGGAGGAATAATTATCTCCTTAATGAGAAAATGTATTTATCTTTCCCAATAGCCCTTCCCATGATGCAGCAGCTCACTGAGCCTTCAAAGGGTTGCACTGCTAAGTCTGCCTGCATTTTCTATTCCATCTTTATGTCTTATTTTCGTCTAGATACTGGACGAATGTCTAGGCATGTTTTCCCATTCTTTCTCTAAAGTTCCTGTTTGCTTTCTTCAGTACAGCTGCTTGCTGGTTGCCACTGCTGCACAGGTATGCACTGAAGGTTAATGGAGTTCAAGGTGAAACCCTAATCTATAAGGTTGCTAACCAGGAAGAAGGAAAAAACAGAGTCTGTGTTTCTGTCAGCAAGAGCACATTGAGAGGGTCTGTGAGTAGCAATCAATGGTGGCTGTCTGCAAACCTTGAGAAGTGCCCTCATAGAAATGAAATAACAGTGTCTGGGATTCCAAGGAAATATATTTCTGTTGTCTAAGCCATCTAGTCCAGAGTATTTTGTTATAGCTTCCCAAGCTAAGACAGTCACCCAGTGAGAAAGAAGAGCCTTATGGATTTGCACACAGTTTTGCTGGGATCACACTCACCATTAGCAGTCTGTCTCCTACTTGCAACCTCCCATCCTTCTGTGCAGCTCCACCATCTATAATTTTGGTTACATAAATGCTGTTGTCTCCAGGAATGTGCTGGTTCCCCACCCCTCCAGCAATACTGAAGCCTAAACCTAGGGGGAAAGGAAGAGAAAACGAAAAGCAAAGGCGATTAGCTATACAACAACAGCAGAAAACATTTTTAATTAGCTCATTTTTCCCCTAATAAATGGCAGCGAGCATTCTGTTGAAACTGACTTTGCTATCCAAATATTTGAAGGGCTTATTGACTTTGGCTAATGAAGCAAAGATCATTTAGTCAATCATATGTGAATTTCAATTTTGTTCTATTTGAAGACTGGACCGCTAACCACTACTGTTCTCCAACTAATGAGTTCAGACGAGTAACTGGTCAGAACAAGGATGGAGCAAAGGATACTGCTCTTATTCCCTTTGAGGTAAGGGTTGTGTTTTTGTGTTGAGCCAGGAGAGGCACAGGTGCAGTTGTTGACTGTTCAGAGCCCAGGGCTCATCCCCATGGCCACTGCTACTCTGGTACAGAAAGGAGATACTTCCTGATGCTTCCATTAAATGTATAAGAAGATGTCTTGATTTATGATTTCCGTTGTTTCTTTAATATAATAAATTTCATGAAACTGCTTCTGCCCCAGAACATGGCATTTGGGGTAACCTAAATCCGTGTCCCCAGGCTGTTGCCATACATACTTGACTACAGAATAAATCGCTTCTTCTCCCCTCTGAGGTGAGAGTTCTATGTTTATATTGACCTGGGAGAAACACAGGAGCTATCCTTGGTTGTCCAGAGCCCAGGGCACATATCCATGCTCGCTGTTAACTCTAGAATACAGAGAAGAACCACAACCACTTTGGGCAGAGGAAGGCACCTGGACCATCTTGATTGACATTTAAGGATAAAAAATACAGTTAGAGGGGCGTCGTTCAGACTGTGAGATGAACCAAGGATACACTGGGTGTTTCTATGTCACCATTTCAGGACGCTGATGAGAAAATGACGAGAGATGCTATTTTTACATTTCTTCTTTGGTCATTTGTCATATTTTTAAAATTCCTAGCAACTGGTGTTATCAACTAACTGTTAGGTTTCAGACCTGGGACAAATGGCCAACATGCCTACTTAACACGTCAAAGCAAACCTGGCCCCCAGGTTCTCCCTACATCCCCCAGTCCCTACCTGTTACAGAGCCCTTCCTGGCTTGTTACCCCTACCATACCCTAAAGTTCTTTAACCCAGGGGCTAGGCTGCTTTTCCCCCAGCTTCCTTTCCCTATATAATCCAGACATTTTTGGTTACCCCTCTTCCTTTTGGACCTCCTGGCTGCTGCAGCCGGTTCCCCTCTCCCTTCTCTCCCCACATGGCTCAGGGTCAGGTCCATTCTGGACTCTCCCACGTGTCTCTGCCTCCAGCTATGCTCTCCCTTTTATCTGAAACAAACTTTTTTCTCCACCATACCTAGGAAGTTATGCCTTTCCTTTTTATTATTTACTTTTTTTATTCACTAACTGATAATCAAGTTATTGACAAAAAAAAATGAGAATCACCCCTGTATGCAGCCTTATGAACAAAACTACCCAGAAAAAAAGCTGGGTCTTTGAATAGAACCTTCTCCGAGACTAATTTACTGAGTGGAACTTCGGTGATTGTGGAGGGATTTGTAATGTTTTGAGTCTGAAGACAAAATACCTTGAGCTCTCCTTAGCCCTTACTATAGCTATTTATTGTTTTCATCCATACCTTATCTGACAGCTCTTGACCATTTGGTGACTCATTTGGGATGTACAAACAGGTGATTTCCATTGGAATGAGTTAACGTCACAGTTCACTACCTTATACCAACCCCAAAGCCATCAGATAGCATCAGAGGCCCATGGCAGAACTTTGCAGCTTTATTGTAACCCCCCTCCCCACACTTCTACTAATGTATTTAAAAAGTGTCTTGATTTCTGACTTCCTTTGTTCTGTTAAAAAAAAATCATGAAATTGCTTCTGTGTTTGGACAGGGATAACCTATGTCTGTGTCCCCAGGCCATGGTCACCCATACTTGGCTACAGAACAAACCATTTGTTTTCCCCCTTGAGGTGAGAGTTGTACTTTTGTGCTTAGAGTCTTAAGAATAAAAATTAAGACGCCTTTACTTTACTTTTTATAATGAATGACAGAATATAAGATCATTTTAAACATGGACTCTTGTACTTTAATAGATGAATTTTACTCTGGTTTGCAAAATGCTTATTTTCATTTAATTATGAAGATACAGCAAGAGCAGAATTATCTACTGACTATGAAGTAATAAATTGTAAAGTGGTGATTGACAGAGCCTTTGAGATCATGATCCACTATATATTCAGTAAAATGCTTATAGCATATATTCTTGTCTAGAAATATAAGTAACGTACAAGTTACTAAAAATTACAGAAAAAGAATAATCAATGTCCAGTGAAGTTAAACACAGAGTGTTGTGACTTTCTTGGCTTAAGAAAAATTTTAAAAAACATACATTAGATAACTGACAAAGCAGTAATAATTTTTGGTACTTTATATAATAATGGAAACATACTTTTATAAACATTAGCTCTCTTTCATTATGCTTTTGATTATTAATACAGAGAAAATTATATATATGTTTTTTTTCCCAAGTGGGTGCGCTTTAATGGGGGAGGGGTAGCACAATAAGGGACAGGTGTGCAAGACACCAGAGGCTGAGGGGAGAGAGAGAGAGAGAGCTCGTGGGAGCTCCTATATATATGTTTTTAAGACAACATAAATAATGGAAAAATGATGACTTAGTAAATTAAGTTATACCCTGGAATTTTATTAAAAATGTAATGGTTTTGTTTAGCAAACTATAATAGTTGTTAAAATAAATGGAAAATGGATTCAAATTGATAGAGCAATTAAAATAAGCATTAGATAATTTCCTATTGAAGTGGGTAATGATTTTCCATTGACATTTTGAATATATTTGTCTGAACCCTGAATATATTTGTCTGCCTATGACGTAAAAGAATGTGCTTTCTAAGCCACGACCAAAGAATACGTAAAATGCCTGTATACTGACTTTTCCTATGAACTTTAAGATGCACATTACTGTCCAACATGGCAATTTCACTGGACAAATGAGGGTAAGAACGTCTTAAAAACATTTTTCAACCCTTTCACTGTCACGTGCAGTCTACTGCATTTGCAGCGCAACAGAGGTCATTCCAAATACTGTACAGAGAAAGGTTAAACACATACCCAGGGACTCTGATTTACACCCACTAGGTGAGCAATAAATGCCAAAGACAATCTTGGTTCCTGAGAGCTATGGAACACATTACCGCCATCAAGAAGATTAAGTCCCTCAAAGAGAATAACTATATAGTTGACATTTGGAGTTGAAGACAGCACCAAGACCATGAAATTACTATAAAAACTGTGATCATAAATACATCAGCTGAAAGCTCTTTCCTTTCTTTCTTTCTTTCTTTCTTTCTTTCTTTCTTTCTTTCTTTTTTTGAGATTAGGTTTATGTACTTTTTGTCTAGTGACTCTACTGAAGGCAAAGTCAAGCACTTTTAATACATAGATCTCTGAGATCCAGAGACAGTGTCTGATGGGTCACAACTAAATATTTCTCTTATTTCGATGATATATGAATAGGTACCAACCCACACCTACTAAATACCAAGTATTTTGCAGGCATTATTCTTTTCATGATTCTTGTGTGTCTGTTGTTCAGCCTGTCCTTGAACTCATGACCTCCTGCCTCAGCCTTCTGGGTACTGGAATGACAAGTGTGCATACTATGTCTGGCCACATTCCAGATAGTCACTTCAACATGGTACATAATGTGAAACTTATGTGTGCATAAAGAAAATACTTTTACTTATACACAGAAGTCTCAGTCTATATTTTAAGATCTGATTCAGTCTCAGTCATCCATTCATTCCTTCTATCATTCATTCATTGTTCCACACATTAATTCATTCCACCAACATCTCCTAAATACATTCTGTGGTTATCTTGGTTTGAGACATGGTCACATTTAGCACAGAACAGTCTCACATTCTTTATGAAGTCAATATCGAACTTGAGTTCCTAATCTATCTTTTTCCACCTCCCAGTTAAGAGGATTACAAGCATATGTTTCAGTGCCTGTCCATTCTACCGATTATACAGCCAATTTCTGCCCATTGCATTCAAGAAAGTTATTCTACTATATTTATCTTGGCTACAGCAGATAGAAATTGGCTAGAGTACACTTTCTTAAGGCCTTATTCAAATATCAGTCTCTCTAGAAGTCTGAATCTGATCTTTCTATTCAATATTGTCCTTTACTATATATTCCACTGTCATGTTTAGATTTAATTGTCCAGGTGGTACAGTTCACAATCACCTAGAAGAGCAGGCCTGAGGCAGCGACCTCCACAGGAGCAGGTACAAAGGAGCAATCACTAAGGGAGCAGGCTGGAGCCAGAAATCTATGCAGGACCAGGCCTAAGCCAAGGGCATCTGTGGGAACAGGCCTAAGCCAGCAACCTCTGGCCCAAGGCAGCAACCTTAGCAGGAGCAGCCCCAAGCAAGCAACCTCTGTGGGAGCAGACCTGAATGACCCCCAGTTTTGCAGAGCGGCACCCAGGAGCACTGAGTAACACCCAGGAGCACTGAGTGACCTCTAGAACACCAAGTGACCTCCGGGGTGATGGGAACCTTGGCCCCGACTGCACCACAAGCAGCAACCATCTGAGCCTTGGATCCACTGGCACCTGGAAGATTGATCGCCAGAGACACAGCCCCAACTACACCAATTAGAGGAAAAGATGGGTAGACAAGGTAAGAACACAATCACCTAGAAAGAGAGTCTTGTTGGGGAATTGTCTAGAATAGTTTCCCTTTGGGTATGTCTGTGGGGCATCATTTTGATTATGTTAACTGATGTAGAAAAGTGGACAGTATTATTTCTTAGGGTTGGGGGTCTGGATTCTATGCAAGGGGAGAAAGTGACCTGAGCACAGCAAGCATGGAATCATTCGTTGCTCTCTGTTCTTGAATAAGGATATAATGTCACCAGGTACTTCAAGTTTCTGCCACTTTGATCTCCCTCTGATGAC